GATTAGGGTTTTGGGCACTGCTCAAATGGCAATGGATCCATTCATGGAAAAGAAGTGTACAGAGGATCTTTGTGCAAGGACCTCCGCAATGTGTTGAACGAACCTGGAAAACAACCCAAGGCTCCATGTCCGTAAAAACTGCCAACGTTGGGCCGCCAAGTCTGCAAATGGTAAGTACCACATTGGGTTATTAGGAGCCCTACAGTAAAGCTGCATAAGTTTCCAGAAGGCAACAGGCAGCAAGACAAGCATGGAATCCCTCATTCATTTTGTACGCAGCGGATGCAGAATATTGGCAGGGACTCTTGCTATTTACACCCCAATGCCCCGGATTTGGAGCTCCAATCCCATGCAATTCCAAATCACGCGTGCCTAGGCATGTGCCGAACCGTTTTATACAACGACCTGACAGGCTCAAACACCTAATTTCCTGGTTCGTAGTAAGGAATAAGGGAATATAATCCTTGTATAAACCCCATATAATTGTTCATTTCCTTATTCCTACCCTAACGCCTAAGCTCTACAATATATTCTGTTATTCCTTACCCCAGTACGCCAAGCATGTTCGACTTGCTGCCAGGGCTCCGGATAGCCCCACGCAGAAGGCGAAGAGCGTCAAGGCCGATGGATATCAACAACATCATGGGTTTAGGATGTAGGACTTTTAGGGTCTAGGGTTTAGGGTTTAGGGCTTGGGGTTTAGGGTTTGGTTGATGTTGTTGATCTGCAGAATCTGCCAAAGCTTCTTTACCCAAAGACTAGGAGCTTCGGTGGTAGAATGCACGAAGAACCATGTATGTTTTTGTCCATGAAACGCCGGGTTGGGAGTTTGCAGGCTGGGGTTCAGGATGTTGAGCCCACTCAGTAGCAGGTGGATTATACATATATATATATATACATAGAGACAGACAGAGAAAAAGAGAGAGAGAGAGAGAGATGGAGACAGAGACGGAGACGGAGACAGGCGACGGAGATAGAGACAGAGAAAAAGACAGAGACGGAGACACAGCCCTCATAGGGTTTAGGGTCTATATTCTATGTTAAACTTTTGCTGGGCGGGGTCCGCACCCCGTGGGCTGTAGTCATCCTCGGGTTGGTAGAAACAGTGACCCACTGAATAGAAAGGCAAGGCCCCTTCCCCTGACGTTATACATTCCCTCCAGTACATACTGGTACTGTTTTTGGTGAGCTACTATCACGGGAGTGGGGAGTTGTCTTTAGTGGAAGGCATTATGTCCCATACTTTTATGTTGCACCTCTTTGACCCCAAACCCTGAAGACCCCAGACCCTAAACCCTAAACCCCAGACCCTGAACCCTGCAGATGATTACTTGCACTTGACCCCAGGGCTAGGATTTCCGGCCTCTGGGGGTCCTAGGGTTTAGGGTCAGGCGTTTACCCTAAACCCCTAAACCCATAAACCACAAATCCCTAACCCTAAACCCTAAACCCTAAACCCCTAAACCCTGGTTTAGGGTTCGGGGTTTAGGGCTCCGGGGTCTACCTAGCCTCTCTTTGAGCTCTTTGGGATGAGTGGTTAGCTTGTCTCTCCCTGCATTCAATGTCCTAACATGACAGGGGTCTATTAGGGTTTAGGGATTTAGGGTTTACCTAAACCCCAAGAGTATGTAAAATAATGGCCTTTAGGGTTATTATTATGGGTTTAAGGCTACTTTTTACATATTTGGGGGTTTAGGGATTTACGGTACAATTAATACCTACATTGGGCCCCAAAGGCTGTAAATGTTACCTACATTGGGCCATTTGGATCCCTAGAGTTAGGGTTTAGGGATTTAGGGTTTGGGGATTTAAGGATTTATGGATTTAGGGCTTGGGGTTGCAACCGTTTCCCAACGCAGCGGATGTTTTGCGCAGCATATTTCAGCTGTTGCTCGGATTTCGGTTATATGGGGTTTATCTTGGGGTTATATTGGGATAATGGAAAAGAAAATGGAAACTACTATTTAGGGTTTAGGGTTCATAGTCCCCCTTAAGTTATGGTGATACGTTACAGTTTCAGCAGGTATGGTCCTCATCAGCTGCTCTGGGCGGTCAACATGCTTGCTTGGCCGTTTCTCCGCTCGAGCAACTGCAGCATGACATTGGCCAGTACTTTGACACCAAGTTCAAAGGTCAGACCGGGTCTTGGAATGACTGCTGGAGAAACCTTCCTTTGCCGGAACGCTGCTTGCGCTGAAGTTCTTGTCCTCTTCTTGGACGTTGTGGTTCTACGGCGCTCTTAGGGACGATGAGTCGTACCCGCGTCCGAAGATCGTGAAAATAGGGTTTGGGGTTTAAGGTTTTTAGAGTCTAGGGTCCGCTTGGGGGGGTCCTAAGTTCTTTTGAAGATTAGCTATGGACTTCCCTGAAGCATTCTGCATGGCGTCAAGCCTCGCATTGCCTTGGCCCAAACCCTAAATCCCGAACCCTAACCCCTAAATTATTATGAGTTCAAGTACTCAAGTCGAGCTGTCCAGAAATCAGGATCCTGCCTTGGGGAGCCTCATGAAAAGGTCCCTAAACCCTAAACCCTAAATGGTAGTCTTAAACTGCGGACCCCAGTTTCTGGACTCCCAACTATGATGTGATTCTGGTCCAGAAAGGTTTTCTCTACTGATACAAGGAGCCCCTATTGTGTGTGTGTTAGTTGGGATAGTGGGCATAGGGTTTCTTGCTTAGGGTTTAGGGCAAGTTTTCTGTTTGACTACGTAGGGTCTAGGGTGATAGAGTGTAGGAAGTCTTGTTCCACTTAGATCCCCAAGCATCAGTAGTTCCTTGGAGTTCAGCTATTCAAGCTGCGCAGGTTCTCCTGCCGGAAATGTGCTTCAGGAAAAAAATAGCTATGGGTCTCTGAAATAATTTGTTGTCTTAGCCTATTCTTGGGACATGGCGCTGCCTAAAGACTAATACTGCGGCAACCTATTCAAGCTGCAACTGCACTTCAAACTTTCCCAAACAACCCTATATAACCCCAATATAGCCCCATATAACCCCTATAATCCCTGTAGTTTCCATTTTCTTTTCCATTATCCCAATATAACCCCAATATATCCTTCAACATCTTCAACCACCTACGACCTAAGCCCCCTACGTGAACCCAACACGTATGTGTACAACAACTGCTTGTTGGCACCGCGTCGGGTTTTTGGACCGCGCCCCACCTACTATTGATATTGACAATCCTGCATGACCTTCATATACTATAGTGCCATAATTCCCAATGTATAAGGTACTTAGGGTCATGCAGGATTTTTAGTATCCACCCTAGTTGGAAGGTCCAGGTAAAACTAAGCCGAACAGGTTAAAACCCCTGCCCAAGATGCCGAGTGTTAGGGTTTAGGGTTTAGGTTAGGGTTTAGGGTTTGGGGTTTAGGGTTTAGGCTTGGACCTTGAGGGATAAGCCCAAACTCTAAACCTTAATTGCATACTATTTATGTACTTGACCTTTAGGGTGGTAGCTCAAGCCAGGATCCACGGGCTCCCAATGCTCCACCTTTGTACTCTGATGAGGCGCAATCAATTTCTGTGATTTGGGGCTAGACTTATGGGTTTAGGGTTCCCTCAGGGTCCATGTACCCAATAATTTGGTACGTAGGGCTTTGGTAATAGTAGTTATAGTACAGGTTTTGGGTAAGTACATGATTTTTAGGTAGTTGGACCTTTATGGGTTTAGGGTTTAGGGTTCCGGTTAAGGCCTACGTAGGGATTCCCTCCTCAGGCCGTGGAAGCTCGTACGTGATTACCCAAGGTCCTGCACAGTAGTTGGCTGTTTCAGGGCCTTGTGGGACTCGGGGGGAGTAGGCGGTTTTGAGTGTAAGGGGTATAACCGTCCTTTGCCACTCACCGACATTGACTGTGATGCCAGCAGGAATCGCATGGACAGTGCGCTTTTGAAGCGTCATTAGCTCAAGCACCAGGCTATCGCCTTTGCTTGATCCCAAGAAAGGTCGTACTGGCGAGCATGAGTGCTGTTCAGCACAAACAAGTCCAACAATATTTTCTCATCCATTTCCTGCCCCAACCACACTCAAACCGCCATGGCCGCGGAGATCCTGGGCATCAATGAGGATGCCACGGAGGAGGCGTGTTGACAGGTGCTGCGAACTCACGGAGGTGTCACGTTCGCCGCTTCGCATAGGAAATCAAGAAGGAAACCTAAATCCCTGGGCAATTTAAAGCGACCTCACCCGACATTGTGGCTTACATTGGGAATAGTACCAAAACGGCCTTAAATTGGGAATTGAAATTATTCCAAATTCCCCCGCTAAAGCCTACACCCTAAGCCCGGTGGATTTGGGTGTTTGACAGGGCCCTAGCTTTCCCAAGTTTCCAGACCTGTTTCCAGACCTGAGTCACGCAGTAGCCCCCAGGTTTCTTATGTAGCCTTGGTGTAGGGTTTAGGGTTTAGGGCTTAGGGTGCAGCTCACTCAAAAAGGCCTCAAACAAGTGTTGGCCAATTTTAAGGCCCCAGTACCAGCGCACTACCTAAACCCCAAAAGTATGTAAAATTATAGCCCTAAATCCAGAATAACAGTCCTAAAGGCCATTATTTCACATGTTTTTGGGGTCCAGGTAGAGTCTATAGCCTGCACTCGCAGTTTTTCAAATTCCAAGTAGGCAACACCTTCATTGACGCGATTGGACCGTTCACCCTAAACCCTACATTCGGAGCCCTAATTTTAAGCCCTATAAGGTCGAGGCCCTTATTCCAAGCCTTACATAGACCCTTAATCTGAAGTCTCCTCAGGAAATCCGTTTGATTGTGTTACAGCAGAATCCTGGGGACATATCACAAATATTGTTTCTACAGTTGTTGGTCTAGGGGGATCACAGAAATCCTTAAAGCTTTTAAACCAGGAGGATCCTCAGACCCTAAGATCTCTGCAAGCCTAGGTTTAGGGTTTAGGGTTCAGGGTTTACGGTTTGGGCTTCTTAGGTTAAGGGTTGAGGGTTTAGGGTTTAGGGTTCAGGGTTTAGGGTTTCGGCTTCTTAGGTTTAGGGTTGAGGGTTTAGGGTTCAGGGTTTATGGTTTCGGCTTCTTAGGTTAAGGGT